CACAATTAGGGATAACCTGAATAACTGTATCTATGAAAAAAAATGACTTTACAGTTAATAACCTCCCACAAAGAAAACTCTGGGCCAAGATGGCTTCACTGATGAATTCTACCAAACATTTAAGAAAAAATATCCATTTTATACAAATTCATTCAGAAAACTGAAGAGGAGGAATTCTTACCAATTCATTCTATGAGGTCAGTATTACCCTTATATCAAAATCTGACAAACACATGACAAGTAAGGAGAGCTGCAGATCGATATCCCTCATATAGATGTACAAACCCTAAACAAAATGTTCACACACTGAGTCCAATAACATATAAAAAGACTAGCACACTGTTACTAAGTGGGACTTTTCTCAGGAATAAGATGAAAAGTTAGTTTAACATTTGAAAATCAATCAATATAATTCACCACATAAATAAACAAAAAAAAAAAAAAAAAGGAGAGAAAGAAAAAGGAAAAAAAAATACAAGATCATACCAAAGGACATGGAAAAAGCACTTGACGATATCCAACGTCTCTTCCAGATTAAAAACTCTATGCAAACTATGAACAGAAGAAACCTTCCTTAACTTGATAAAGAACATTTATGAAAAACTTTTACCTAACCTACTTTAAAAATGAAAGACTAAATCCTTTCCCCCAACATCTGGAATAAGATGTTCTCTCTCATAAATTTTATTCAACATATTTTAATGTTTTACATAATAAATTACATATTAAAGAGATTATAGGAAGCGCAATAAGGTAAACACATAAAAGAGATCAGAAGCATCTAGATTGAAAAGGAAAAAGTAGAGCTGTCTTTATTTATAGACATGATTGTTTATATAAAAAATGTGATGCAATCTACAAAACCAAGCTCTAGAACAGATAAGTCAGTTTAGCAAGGCTTCAAGATTTAAAATTAATATACAAAAATCAATTGCACTTCTATGTTTAAGTTAAAAAGACAATACCATTTACAAAAACATCAAAAAGTATGAAATACTCAAAGGATAAGGCTGACAAAACATATGCAATTCCTATACACTGAAAACTATACAATACTGCTGAGAGAAATTAAAGATCTAAATAGAGAAACATCTTGTTCATGAGTTGGAAGTTTCAATAATATTAAGATATCAATTATCTCCAAAATGAACTACAGATTTAATGCAATCCCCATTAAAAATCCCAGCAGGTTTTTTTGTTGTTGTTTCATAAATTGATGAGTTGATTACAAAATCACATATAGATGCAAAAAAACCTAGAATAACCAAAACAACTTTGTGAAAGAACAAAGATGGAGAACTAACATTATCTGATTTCAAGGCTAATTGTAAAGCTACAGCAGTCAAAACAGTAAGGCGCTGATGTGAAGTGAGAGAAATAGATCAATGGAACAGAACAGAGTCTAGAAACAGACTCACAATATACATAGACATCAGACTTCTGACATAACTTCAAAGGTAATTCAGTGAAGAAAGGATAGTCTTGTCAGCAAATGGAGCTGGAACTACTGGATATCCACACACAAAAAATAAATTTTGACCCATACCTTATGCCATATACAAAAATTAACTCAAAAAAAGATGACGGACACAAATATAAAATCCACAACTACGAAAACATCTAGAGGGAAAAAAAAAAATTCCACAACTACAAAAACATCTAGAGGGGAAAAAAAAAAAAAAAAAAAAACAAGAAAAAAGTCTTTGTGAACCTCAGTTAGATAAAGATTTTTTAGGATTTCTTAGGTGACACCAAAGCACAATCCATAAAAGTAAAAACTTGATAAGTAGGACTTCATTAAAATTTAAAACTCCTGCTCTTCAGAGAACACTCTTAAGAGAACAAAAAGAAAAGTCATGGACTAGAATAAAATATTTGCAAACCTTACATCTGATAAAGTTCTTATATCCAGAATATATAAAGAAAAAGCAACTCAAACAACACACGCACGCACGCGCACACACACACACACACACACACACACACACCCCTCCACCCAAAATGTAGGCAAAGATTTGAGCAGATACTTTACCAAAGATATAAAGATAATAAATAAACACACAAATAGATGCCTAATATCTTTAGTCACAGGAAACACATTTTAAAATCACTGAAATACCATTACATAACTATTTCATTGATTGAAATTCAAAAGTCTGACCACACCAAGAGCTGGCAAGAATGTGGAGGAACTGGAACTCTGATACACTGCTGCTAGGAAGTAAAATTATATAACCTTTGTGGAAAACAGAATAGCAGTTTCTTAAAAAGTTAAAAATCTACCATGTGATATAGCCATTCTACTCCTAGGTATTTTCACAAGAACATAGAAAGCCTATGTCCATACAAAGACTTGCACATGGAAAAAAAAAAATACTTGTACATGAATGCTGAGAGCAGCTTTATTTCTAAGAGCTTATAACAACCCAAAAGTCTACCAACAGGTGGATATAGAAACAAATTATAATACATCTATACAATGGAATACTACTGAAAAGAAAAAAAAACTATTGAGACATGTACATGAAAATATCTCAAAATAATTATGCTACGTGATAATAGACAAAAAAAGTATGTATGTTATATGACCCCATTTATATAAAATTCTAGAAAATCCAAATACATCTACAAAGCAAATTAATGATTTCTAGGCAATGGAGGAACCAGGAAACATTATAAAGAGGCACAAGTAAGCTTTTTGGGGAGATAAACTTACTTGATCAGTATTCTGATTATAGTGATGTTTTCTGGTTATATGCATATGTAAAAACTTACCAAATTATATATTCTAAATATGTGCAGTTTATTGCATGTCAATTATACCTAATAATACAGTTTTTGAAAATCAGAATTACATATACTGAAATATTAACAGTGTCTATATTTAAGCTTATGGACAATTTTGGTTTTATCTTTTGTGTTTCTCAATGTCTTCCAAGTTTTTTGTGTTGATTGTTTTATATTTATAGTAGAAACAAAACGTTATACTTCTTATGTTTTGAAAAACCATACTGCAAAGTAATAACAGCCATACTAGAAGTAAAGAACTGACACACAGAGAGAGGAGCAATATGATGGGTGACATACCTCAGGATATGTGTGACTGGTCAATAGATCACAATTTAATATCCAAAATTCAACTTGCAACTCAGCCTCCTAGAGTGTTTATGTATTAGGCATTGCTAAATTATAATTTGCTGAAGGCGTCTTTGTTAGCCTTAGTGTAGCTAGTCATATTCATGACAATGACAACCACAAACAAAAAATAAAACCAAGGAATGACCTTTGGTTACGAGCACATTTCAAAAGAACAAAGAATTTTCAGGTCCTATAAAATGAATCCAAATTCCTTAAATATAGGTCAGGTCATAGAAAAAGCAGTTAGAACTCATAATAGATGTATTCTTTATTTTAATAAAAGTTGCATTTTAAACATGAGGTTTTCATTAGCTATTTTAATTTAATACATGCTTCTTAAGTGAAAAAGAAATAAAATCCATTACAGACATGTAACTGCTGGGAGATTTTGTCACCACCAGGCCTACCTTACAAGAGCTCCTGAAGGAAGCACTAAACATGGAAAGGAACAACCAGTACCAGCCACTGCAAAAACATACGAAATTGTAAAGAACCATCACCTCTAGGAAGAAACTGCATCAACTAGTGGGAAAAATGATCAGCTAGCATCATAATGGCAGGATCAAATTCACACATAACAATATTAACCTTAAATGTAAATGGGCTAAATGCCCCAATTAAAAGACACAGACTGGCGAATTGGATAGAGTCAAGAATCATTGGTGTGCTATATTCAGAAGGCCCATCTTATGTGCAAAGTCACACATAGGCTCAAAATAAAGGGACGGAGGAAGATTTACCAAGCAAAAAAAAGCAGGGGTTGCAATCCTACTGTCTGATAAAACAGACTTTAAACCATCAAAGATCAAAAGAGACAAAGAAGGGCGTTACATAATGGTAAAAGGATCAATGCAACAAGAAGAGCTAGCTATCCTAAATATGTATGCACCCAATGCAGGAGCACCCAAATTCATAAAGCGAGTTCTTAATGACCTACAAAGAGACTTAGACTCCCACACAACAATAGCGGGAGACTTTAACACCCCACAGTCAATATTAGACAGATCAATGAAACAGAAAATTAACAAGGATATTCAAGACTTGAACTCAGCTCTAGACCAAGTGGACCTAATAGACATGTACAGAATCCTCCACCCCAAATCAACAGAATATACATTATTCTCAGCACCACATCATACCTATTCTAAAATTAACCGCAAAATTTGAAGTAAAACACTCCTCAGCAAATGCAAAAGAATGGAAATTATAACAAACAATCTCTCAGACCACAGTGCAATCAAATTAGAACTCAGGATTAAGAAACTCACTCAAAACCATACAACTACATGGAAACTGAACAACCTGTTCCTGAATAACTACTGCATAAATAATGAAATGAAGTCAGAAATAAAGGTGTTCTTTGAAACCAGCGAGAATGAAGACACAATGTACCAGAATCTCCGGGACACATTTAAAGCAGTGTCTAGAGGGAAATTTATAGCACTAAATGCCCAAAAGAGAAAGCAGGAAAGATCTAAAATCAACACCCTAATGTCAAAATTAATAGAACTAGAGAAGCAAGAACAAACAAATTCAAAATTCAGCAGAAGACAAGAAACAACTAAGATCAGAGCAGAAATGAAAGAGATAGAGACATAAAAAACCCTTGGAAAAAACCAATTAATCCAGGAGCTGGTTTTTTGAAAAGATCAATAAAATAGATAGACCATTAGCCAGACTAATAAAGAAGAAAACAGAGAAGAATAAAATAGATACAATAAAAAATGATAAAGGCAATATCACCACCAATCCCTTAGAAATACAACAAATTATCATCTGAGAATACTATAAACACCTCTATGCAAATAAAACAGAAAATCTAAAAGAAATTGATAAATTCCTAGATACTTATACCGTCTCAAGACTAAACCAGGAAGAAGTCGAATCCCTGAAAAGAACAATAACAAGGTCTGAAATTAAGGCAGCAATTAATAGCCTACCAACCAAAAAGAGTCCAGGACCAGGCAGGTTCGTGGCTGAATTCTACCAGAGGTACAAAGAGGTCCTGGTACCATTCCTTCTGAAACTATTCCAAATAATACAGAAAAGAGGGAATCCTCCCTAACTCATTTTATGAGACCAACATCAGCCTGACACCAAAACCTGGCAGAGATGCAGCTGGCAGTAGAGGGCATTGGGAGATGTTGGTTAAAGGATACAAAATTTCAGATCTATTGTAACTTCAGAAGATCTATTGTACAATATGCTAACTATAGTTATTAACAATGTATTGTATACTTGAAAATAGCTAAGAGAATAGACTTTAAATGTTCTCGCCATGAAAAAAGATAAGTATGTGAGGTAATAGATATGTTAATTAGATTGATTTAGCCATTCCATAACATATACATATATCAAAACATGTTATATACCATAAATACAGTCATGCACTGCATAATGACATTCCAGACAATGATGGACTGCATATTAGATGATGGTCCCATAAGATTATACTGGAATTGAAAAATTCCTATCATCTAATGATGTCCTAGTGCTGTAACACTGTAGTTAATGCATTATCTTTTCTGTGTTTCCATACACAAACACCTACCATTGTGTAACAACTGTGTTACAATTGTCTACAGTATTCAGTACAGTAACATGCTGTATAGGTTTTACCCTGGGAACAATAGGCTATATTATATGCCTAGGTGTTTAATAGGCTATACCAGGAGTCCCCGTTTTGGCACCAGGGAAGATCATTTTTCCATAGACTTGGGGGAGGGGGATGGATTCAGGATGATTCAAATGCATTATATTTATTGTGTACTTTATTTCTCTTATTACACTGTAATATATAATTAAATAATTATACAAGTCACTATAATGTAGAATTAGTGGGAGCCTTGAGCTTGTTTGCTTCCAACTAGACAGTCCCATCTAGGGGTGATGGGAGACAGTGACAGATCATCAGCCATTAGATTCTCATAAGGAGCTCCCAACCTAGATCCACTGCATGCACAGTTCCCAGTAGGGTTTATCCTCCTATAAGAATCTACTGTCATAAGAGAGGACACAAACAGATGGAAAAACATTCCATGCTCATGGTTAGGAAGAATCAATATTGTGAAAACGGTCATACTGCCCAAAGTAATTTATAGATTCAGCGCTATCCCCATCAAGCTACCTAAGACCCTCTTCGCAAAACAGGAAAAAACTACTTTAAATTTCATATGGAACCAAAAGAGAGCCCATATAGCCAAGACAATTCTAAGCAAAAAGAACAAAGCTGGAGGCATCATGCTGCCTGACTTCAAACTATACTACAAGGCTACAGTAATCAAAACAGCACGGTACTGGTACCAAAACAAAGATATAGACCAATGGAACAGAACAGAGGCCTCAGAGGCAATGCCACACACCTACAACCATCTGATCTTTGACAAACCAGACAAAAACAAGTAATGGGGAAAGGATTCCCTGTTTAATAAATGGTGTTGGGAAAACTGTTAGCCATTTGCAGAAAGCAGAAACTGAACCCCTTCCTGACACCTTACACTAAAATTAACTCCAGATGGATTAAGACTTAAACATAAGACCTAACACCATAAAAACCCTAGAAGAAAACCTAGGCAAAACCATTCAGGACATAGGCATAGGCAAAGACTTCATGACTGAAACACCAAAAGTAATGGCAATAAAAGCCAAAATAGGCAAATGGGACCTAATTAAACTCCAGAGGTTCTGCAAAGCAAAAGAAACAATCATTAGAATGAACTGGCAACCAACAGAATGGGAAAAAATTTTTGCAAGCTACCCATCTGACAAAGGGCTAATATCCAGAATCCACAAAGAACTAAAACAGATTTACAAGAAAAAAAAAAACAAACAAATGCATTCAAAAGTGGGCGAAGGACACGAATAGACACTTTTCAAAACAAGACCTGTATGAGGCCAACAAACGTGAAAAAATGCTCGTCGTCACTGGTCATGGAGAAATGCAAATCAAAACCACACTGAGATACCATCTCACGTCAGTTAGAATAGCGATCATTAAAAAATCTGGAGACACAGATGCTGGAGAAGATATGGAGAAATAGGAACACTGTTGGTGGAGTGTAAATTAGTTCAACCATTGTGGAAGACAGTGTGGCAATTCCTCAAGGACCTAGAAATAGAAATACCATTTGACCCAGCAATCCCATTACTGGGTATATATCGAAAGGATTATAAATCATTCTGTGATACAGACACATGCACACGTATGTTCATTGTGGCATTTTTTACAATAGCAAAGACCTGGAACCAACCCAAATGCCCAACGATGACAGGCTGGACAAGGAAAATGTGGCACATATACACCAGGGAATACTATGCAGCCATAAAAAAGGATGAGTTCATGTCCTTTGTAGGGACATGGATGAACCTGGAAACCATCATTCTCAGCAAACTGACACAAGAACAGAAAATCAAACACCATATGTTCTCACTCATAGGCAGGTGTTGAACAATGAGAACACATGAACACAGGGAGGGGAACATCACACACTGGGTTCTGTTGAGGGGGGACTAGGGGAGGGACAGTGGGGGGTAGGGACTTGGGGAGGGATAACATGGGGAGAAATGCCAGATATAGATGACAGGGGGATGGAGGCAGCAAACCACACTGCCATATAGGTACCTATGCAACAATCCTGCATGTTCTGCACATGTACTCCAGAACCTAAAGTGCAATAAAATATATTAAAGAATCTAATGTCACCACTGATCTGACAGGAGGTGGATCTCAGGTGGTAATGCAAGCAAAGATGAAGCTTTGCTCGCTTGCCTGCTCCTCAGCTCCTGTTGTGCAGCCTTGTTGCTAACATGCCAGAGACCAGCACTGGACCCCTGGGCTATACATCTAGGTTTGTGGAAGTACACACCATGATGTTATAGTGATCAACGAAATCACTTACTGATGCATTTCTCAGAAGACAACCCTGTCATTAAGCAACACAGAACTGTATATACAATTTTTGTCCATTAAAAAAATAATTTTTAAAGTTGTATATCTGCAATGAAAGTTGCAGAAAGCAACAAGAATAATTAAGGAGAAAATAAAAAGTAATAAAATGCAGCCAGGCATGGTGGCTCATGCCCATAATCCCAGCTCTTTGGGACGACGAGGTAGGTGGATCATCTGAGGTCAGGAGTTTGAGACCAGCTTGACCAACATGGTGAAACCCCAGCTCTACTAAATATACAAAAATTTGCCAGGCATGGTAGCACACACCTGTAATCCCAGCTACTTGGGAGGCTGAGGCAGAAGAATCACTTGAACCTGGGAGGCAGAGGTTGCAGTGAGCCGAGATCGCTACTGCACTCCAGCCTGGATGACAAGGTGAGACTTGGTCCCTAAAAACAAAAACAGAAACAAAAAAAGGTAATAAAATGCATAAAAAATATTGACTCCTTCTTGAATGTGGTGCCTGGGAAAAAGAAGATAAAAGAAAAAGTAGGCACGGGATAAAGATTGCTGTATAGACTCTACAGGATGCTTGAGAACATGTTCAAGGGCTTTAAAAGTTGATAAGACTCTTCTTTTTAAGGACTCTATTCTCAAAAATATATCTAAAGAAATCTCCAAGGTAATCCTTTTCTCAAAGTAAATTCTTATATAATGAGAGGCAATTAGTGCAACTACTGAAAATAAGGCAGATCTTTTTTTTTTTTTTTTGAGACAGTCTTGCTCTGTCGCCAGGCGCCAGTTTGGAACGCAGTGGTGCAATCTTGGCTCACTGCAACCTCCACCTCCCTGCCTAAAGCAATTCTCCTGCCTCAGACTCCCAAGTAGCTGGGACTACAGGCGAGCACCACCACGCCCAGCCAATTTTTTGTATTTTTTTTTAGTACAGATGGGGTTTCACCAAGTTGGTCAGGATGCTCTCAATCTCTTGACCTCATGATCCATCTGCCTCGGCCTCCCAAAGTGCTGGGATAAGGCAGATCTTAAGTAGTGGCAGTCTTGCATCTTTGAATTTTTTCCAAGCTCTAACTCTATTAAGTAAGGGACTCTTAGGTAACACTTTCCCAGTGAAGGTTTGTGTAATTTTTGCCACTAATTCATTACAATTAACAAATAGCTGCAATGATTGTTCTATATTATCTATATTTACACAAAAATCAGTTTTTCTATGCTATCATTTATGACACTGATGAATTTTTCAAACTTCAAAATTACTTACAAACTAAAGGAAAAAAATCTCTCCTATGAATTTTATGTCAAAACTCACCATTTTAAAGCACAATGTTGTAATTCTTACAGATTGTAGGCCCTAATTGCTTCGATAAGAGTCCAGTGTGTCCAGTAAACCTTAAATGACCTCATGTGTAATTGGTCTACCAGCTCCAACAAGATTATGTAAGCAAGCAGAAATATAACTCTGAGGTCAGGTTGAAAGTTATCTATTGAAAACCTGCTATGCTGGAGCACCACCTCATAAAGCAAATCCTGGAAGAAATACCATTTTTGATACAATACAGTTTAACTTCAAGCACAAAAGCATGAAAGAATCCCTTTTTGAAAACTGCCAAATTCATCTAAGCCTTAAGATTCCGTTTCACACAGAAAAGTAAAAAAGCATTTATCCACTTCAACACTTACAGGTGAGAGACTTGGAACTAAGATAATAAAAGGAAGTTATAACAGTGAAGGCAGGAGGTAACAAGACCTAGATCATAAAAAAAAAAAAAAACTGAAGAGTAATCCAACTCTCATGCCTATGACGTCCCAGGCGCTAGATGCTGCGGTGGAAAAGATGTCCTCCTGTGCCCAATGCTGTGAAGACAGAAGCAGTTCAAAAGAGAAGTTGACAGCTGACTGTAGTCTATAAGTCTATAATATTTCTTCTCTCAGGTGGTAAATGAACTAAGAAATTTTACTTTGATGAGATAATACTGCTTTTGTGTAGTTTTGCACTGAAGTTTAGATTTCCACCTAAGAATATTTCTAGTCTTAAGAATCAGCCACTTAGCAGGATTTCTATCATTCTATAAAATGTTAAATATAAGTATCAGGGTTCATATTTTAACATTGTGATTTTTATTAATATTTCTTCATTACTATAATAGTGATTCTTAGTGCCCTAAACAATATATTTCATCAAGACAGAAATAAAATAGCACTATCATACCTCAAGTAATTCAGTATTTCTCAATAATCTTTCATACTTTAAAATTTCAAAAGAGTTTTCACTCATTTCATTTCACACTGTTCTTCTCATTCCAGGACTTATTCTCAAGAAAATCAAGAGTAGCTAGTAAATAGCTAGAGACATTGTGGCCGACTATAAAAGGAAAACCAAACTGAAGTCAGGAAATCTGGGCTTTGCTACTAATTAATCAGTCTTCTGACCTCGTTCTTGTGGTCCTACATTCCTGGCTATGAAATGAAAGTTTCAGAGAGGATAATAATTGCTGGTTTCTTTTTTCAATAAAGTCTATCACTTATGTTTCACCTGAAAATATTAAATATCTAAAAAGCAAAAATCTTTTTAGAATTAGGTAAATCAAAGCACAAATACAGGAAGAAAAAAAAGTAATAGGGTATCAAACTTCAACAAAACACCATTGCCGAAGTATTTTATTTTTTAAACTCCAAAACAGAAAAAAAGTCCATCAAAATTCTCTCATAATCCAAAGCCATAAACTCTAATAAATCAAGTAACAGCAACAGTGAAGCCAAAGAACTATAATTTATTTATTTTGGAAACAGTCCCTGAGAGAGGAAGAAAAAGTTCAACAAATACAATATTTGACATAATACAGTAAATGAATGCACAAAAATATGTTGTATTATGTGGGACAATTTATCTGTCTAATCAATATGCAGCAACCACATAATGCATATGTGGCTACTTAAGATTTTGGTTGATGTAGCTAAGTCACTTCTCCTATTTCAAGTTCACCAAACCCTTAGCAGACTTTTTCTTACAAATGGACACAGTTGCTTATAATAAGACTAGAAACAACGTACCAATTTACTACTGGGAAAAACATATGGTACTATCATCATCTTGAAGTACAAAAGATAATAGATGAGGAATACTTATACTGTGACTATGGTAGGAATAATGATGAATGAATAGCAAGAATAGAAAATGCAAATTGGGTCTACAGGCTAACCAACTACTTTCAATATTAACTCTTCAGAAGGTAAATTTCAAAGAGCAAGCTACTAATAACAAAAAACAAACAAAAAGTTTTCATTACATAAAGGATGAATGAAAACTATAATAAAAGTATGTAAACAAGAAAATATGTTGATTTTTGTAGGTTTTTTGGTGCCTTGCTCTCAACCAGCTACTATATTGTCCCTCAGTCATTTGTAAAATACTAAAATATATTCACTCAAAGCCTTTGCTTTTAAGGTATATATTATTGCTACAATCCATTAAATCCCTAAAACTAATATAGATATTCTTGTGAATTCTCTCACTTAAGAAGATTCCCAATATAATTAAGCATTTGTGACTATAACAAGTATTTCAGCTGACCCCAGATATAATACAGCACCTTAGAAGCTAAAAAAAGGGAATGGCTAATGCTATCCTCTGTTGAATGCTATCGGGCAATGACAATGCTTCATGTCTAGGTGAGATTAAAAATGCCAACATTCTTGCTACACTGCAAACACAGTACATTTGATCTTTGAAGGAAATTGAAGCTTATTTGAAAAGCCTACAGTCATTTGTAATCCTGCAAACAACCTGAGGGCCAATTAAAAATCAAATTTAGATGAAATGTATAGTGAATTCATTTATTAAGAATAAGATTAAATGAAGACTAAAATATTTTTAGCATATCTCTTAAGCATAATCATAGCATCCCTTAGTAATCCCCATACTCAAGTGCCACAGGCATGGAATAATGGAAAATGAAAAGGAACAAGAATCAGGAACCTGGAAGAATGGTTGTGTGGACAACCACATTTATTGAGCACTAAGCACCAGGCAGTATCCTACACATTTCACATATGCTATTTGATTTAATCCTTATGATATATCTGTGAAGTTGAAACAAGCACCGCTACATAGTAAAGGAAAAAGAGCAGTGAAATAACCTGCAGAAATTGGCACTGCTAAAAAGTAGCACAGCAAAAATTTTAAACATAATTTCCATCCCCACCGATCATTTTCCTACCAAGCTCAAATTACATAAAAGTTTTCCTATTGTCTGTCAAGATTGGATATTATCCCTTGCCTTTGAAGTTTATTGTAAAACATTAGCTACACTCATAATAAGAAAAGATCCAGAAATTAGAAAAAGTGTCCTTTTTCCCCCAATTATCATGTGTCCATGGCATGTAAGGTATTATACATAAATTTTGTTAATTTTTCTCCAGACAAGTATAACAACTTGTTAAAGAATTTATGTCATTTGTCTTACCTCTGGAAAAGAAAACCTATTAAAATAATACACTTAGGCATAACCATTAAGTAATGAATATTAAAAATAAATATTCCCAACTCCCACTTCTAGTTAAGATGAAATGAATTGCAAGAGAATTTTATTTTCAACCTAACAACCAGAATAAACCAGTTAATCTATAAAAATCACAGTTTCTTAAAACAAAGAACATGAACTAAATCCTAGAAAAGACTGAGCATTTTCAAGGAAAGAATAGACTCACAGCTAACTTTCATCCCTAGTAGAATGGCAGGCAGAAAAACAATCTCCCATAGATGTGTCAGGAGAAACAAACTGAACTTTCAGCAAATTTATAATAACCACACATGGGCAGACATAAGGTACTGAGAAGTCCCAGCCACAGAGAAAACCTGCATCCACCCACCTACTCTTTCCCACCAGCCCTTACAAGTACACAGGGATGTACACTACAGACCAAATACAGGGCAGGAGCTGAAACATACTCTTCCCAAAGCATGCTGGACCTTTCCCTAGTGCAAGGCAACAGCCCTCTAAAAGGCCAGTGGTAGGAGAGAAGAGGTGACAGAGATTCCTCCTAGACACTCCAGGTCTTTATCCAGTGCAAGACAGCAGTTCCTTAAGGATGGTACTGGGTCATGATAGCTGAGATAAATCCCTCGAGGCACTCTTGGCCTTCACTGAAGTGGCCTCAGGAGGCTCAGGGCAGGACAAGAACACAAGAGACAGCTGAGTTGCAGCAAGCAGAATACAAGACTGAATAGCAAAGAGAATTCCCCAGCATTCCAAAAATCTGGCAGCTATACAGCAAAGAGAGACCGTCCCAGGTTTGCCATAGTTTGTGAAGCTGGCATTAGAAGAGGAACTAAAATAAATAAAAATAAGGAAATATTAAAGCTTGGAAATCAATGAAATAACAAATGGACAAGCAACAGAAAAAAATCAATAGTTAAAGTGGTTTCTTTGAAAAGTTATTAGCATTGATAAACCCGTAGTAAGATTAATTAAAAAGAAAAGGAAAAATACAAATACAAATTTCCAGTATCAGGAATAAAATGGAGAATTATCACTATAGACTCTACAGATATCACTGGTCACTACAGATTCTCAGATATTTAACTAATAAAGGCTATATTATGAAAAAATTGTGCCAATGAAGTTAGAAGCTGAAATGTAATAGATTTATCCTTTTAAAATAAAGCAGAACTATAAAATTTGTAGGAAAAAACATAGAATGTCTTCACAATCTCGGTGTAGGCCAAGATTTCTAACACAATAAGCACTCACTTTAAAAAATAATCAATAAATTATGTGTAATAAAACTTTCTGCCAAACAAAATATAGCAATGAGAAAATGACTAAGCAAATAGACTGAGAAAAAGTATTCATAATACTTATATACGACAAAGTACTTGAATCCATAATATATAAAAAACTTTTACAACTCAATAATAAAAATGCAGACGACTCAAATTTTTTTAGTGGGCAAATGACCTTAACAGATACTTCACAAAAGTAGGTATACAAATGGGCGATAAGCACAAAAAAATATCTTGAACATCACTGTTCATCAGAGAAATGCAAACTTAAACCACAGTGAGGCTGGGCACAATGGCTCATGCCTACAATCCCAGAACTTTGGGAGGCTGAGGCAGGCAGATCACCTGAGGTTAGGAGTCCGAGACCAGCCTGGCCAACATGGTGAAACCCTGCCTCTACTAAAAGAATACAAAAATTAGCTGGGCAATGTGGTATGTACCTGTAATCCCAGCTACTCAGGAGCCTGAGGTAGGAGAATCGCTTGAACCTGGGAGGCAGAGGCTGCAGTGAGCTGAGACTGCACCACTGCACTCCAGCCTGGGTGACAGAGCAAGACTCTGTCTCAAAATAACAATAATAAACCACAATGAGAGAACAGGCACGACTGGAACAGAGTAAGGACCTCTGAAATTTCATTCCTTCATTAAAAAAAAACAATAACAATGGCATAAATTGTCAAACTCAACTTTTTCAGAATTCTGGAAATCAAAGTTTTCAACAATCTGATGTGCATTTACCTAAGAAAAGGGGTTAATTTGCCCTAACCCCATATCCATGTCCCCAGCTCTGTGATTATCTTTGTTTTTCTTTTTTCTTTTTCTGAGAGAGGGTCTCACTCTGTTGCTCAGGCAGGAGGTGTGCAGTGGCACAATCATGGCTCACTGCAGCCTTGATCACAATAAAAAACAGTATTTTTTATTTTTATTTTTTGTAGAAACAGGGTCTTAGGGTCTTACTATGTTGCCCAATTGGTCTTGAACTCCTGGCCTCAAGTAATCATCCCACCTTAGCCTTCCAAAGTGCTAGAATTACAGGTGTGAGCCCAATTGTTTTACAACCAACTGCCTATAATCACTGTGAAAACCAGCAGCCTGGAAGTCACTGAAGTGAATAGAGCTACACTGATGCTCCTCAAAAGCCTCATCCCCAGAAAATTATCCCCACCTGACCTGTCTGGCAGCTCCCTGAAATGCTCCATTTTTAGAATTTGTCTTTATTTGATGTACTCAGAGCTACTTTATACAAACAGCACTAACCCGGGGCATTTGTCCAAAAAAATCAACAACAATTGTTTAACATCACAGCTGCCTGAGGCAGCAAAACCAGTAGGAGCTAACAAGAGAACAACCAAACAACTTTAAAAACAAAAATAAAAACTGAAAGTGAGATGTTCGTAGAAGGCTTTAAAAAGCTTCCATGTATGCTTAGGAATCTGGAAGGCCATGCGTATATCCAGGAAAATCCTGAGAAGGGCCTAATCTCTCACCTTCAGCTAATCTTGAGGGTCCACGTAAGGAGAAAGAAAAGATTGAGACACAATTGTAAGCTACCTGTGAAGCACTGAAATCACGCCCAACTTGCAAATAGATACTCTCAGCAAAAGCCCAGAGACTTACTGATTCAAGGCATTAAAGACACATCTGTCCAATCAATAGCGGACCACTAAGCCAACAAGGCAAGACAAATAATACAGATTTAAAGAAATAGACTAGGAACATCGCTAACAAAAAGCAGCAACACAAGGAGCAACCACAAAGCCTGGAAAGGAGAGATTATATTATTTAAAATGTCCACTTTCAATAACAACAAAATTATAAGAAATAAAGAAATAGGAGAGTATGGCTCATATAGACAGAAAGGAGAAATCAATAAAAACTATCTCTGAGTAAGCTAGACATTTGATTAAGTAGAAAAACACTTTAAATCAACTATTACAAATACATTCAAGGAATTAAAAGAAACCATGTCTAAAGAAGTAAAGTATGACTACAATGTCTTATGAAACAGAGAGTACCAACAAAGAGGAATCATAAAACAGATCCAAATAAAAGTTCTGAACTTGAAAACTCTGATAAAATTAACCAGAGGGGCTTAACAATAGATGTTAGCAGACAGAGGAAAGAATCAACAAACTTGAAGGTAGGTCAGTTGAGATGATCCAATCTAAGGAACAGAAAGAATAAAGAAAAATGAACTGAGTCTCACAGACTTATAGGGAACCATCAAATCTATCAATTATAATGGGATTCCTAGAAGAAGAGAGAGAAAAGGGAAGAAATAAATAATGAAAAAATAATAGCCAAATCTTGCCAACTTTGATGAAAAAAATCAATTTGCACATCCCATCCAAGAAGCTCTACAAGCTCAAAACAGGATAAACTCAAAGAAATCTGCACTTAGGCACATCCACAGTCAAACTATTAAAAGCTGAAGAGAGAATCTTGATAGCAGAGAAAAACTGACTCATCATATAGAAAGGATCTTTGCTAAGATCAGTAACTAACTTCTTTTCAAAAAGTAGGAAGTCTGGCCAGGCATGGTGGCTCACGCCTGTTATCCCAGCACTTTGGGAAGCCAAAGTGGGTGGATCACCTGAGGTCAGAAGTTATAGACCAGCCTGACCAACATGGTGAAACCCCATTTCTACTCAAAATACAAAAAAAAAAAAAAAAAAAAGCCAGGCATGGTGGCATGCACCTGTAGTCCCAGCTACTCAGGAGGCTGAGGCAGGAGAATTGCTTGAACCCAAGACACAGAGGTTGCAATGAGCCAAGATCGCACCATTGCACTCCAGCCTGGGCAACAGGCACAAAACTGCCCAGGCACAAAACTCCATCTCAAAAAAAAAAAAAGTAGGAAGTCCACAAACAGTAAGAAGACATATTCAAAGTGCTGACAAAAAAAAATGTCAACCAAGAATTCTATTTCCAGTAAATTTATCCATCAAAATACAAAGGAGAAATGAAGACATTTCCAAATTTTTAAAAATGTGATAATTCACAACTAGCAGACCTGCCACATAGAAGATACTTACTAAAGGGAATCCTTCCTTTAAGCTGAAATGAAAGCACACTAGACAGTAACTCAAATCCACATGAAGAAATAAAGATTATCAGTAAAGGGAACTACATAGATAATAAAGATAATATAAACATGTATTTTTGTTGGTAGCTCTTTTCTTCTACCTGATTTTTAAAACTTCATAAAGCAATAATTATAAAACTGTGCTGATGAACTTTTAATGTATAAAGATATAATTTGTATAACAATAGCACAAAGGAGGTGGGAGGGAACAGAACTTCATTGGAATAGTTTATATATTATTGAAACTGAGTTAGCATTAATCTGAACAAGATTGTGGTAGGTTAAAGTGTTAATTATAATCCCTAGGATGACCACTAACAAAATAATTCGAGAGAAAAAAAAAGTAGTGAAAAAAAAGTGGACCAGAGTGGAAAGGACAGATCAAAGAGGCATTTAGAAGGGTAGAGTCAACAGAACTTTGTGTTAGATGTAAGTGAGATTCTGCCTCAAGAAGCTGACGAAGATTCTCTTCTTACTCAAATTTTAGTCAGGTTTCTAAACGTTTTCCTAGGCATACCTGTGTACTTCCTTATAGAATCCCATTTTAGCAAAAGAACGCCATTAAAACAATTTATCCAGAACCCACCCATCCTCGTTATCTAATTACCCTCAATACCTAATCAGAATCCTTATCTTCCACCATGCCCCAGGTGATGTCTGATCACCCCAGCCTATTGTCAACAAGAATCTTGTTAGGTTGGCTTAGCTAGAATCTCCCTTAACTCTGACATTTCCTCTTAATAATTTTCTATCTACCAACTCCCACACTGTTCCTTGGCTATAAGTTACCACTTGCCTATGCTGCATTTGGAGTTGAGCCCAATCTCTCTACCCCACTGCAAGACTCAGTGACAGTCCCGAATAAAGTCTTCTTTACCCAGTTTTAACACATATCATTGATTTATTTTTTTCTTTAACAGAGCACATAGTCTAGTGGAAGAGTATCTGAAGAATGAACAAAAAGCTATTCTATATCATGACCAATGACTGGAACAAAGAATAGGAGAGTGACATGAGATGAGACTAAGACTAGATGAAGAAATTAATAGCTAAAGATTGACCTTTGTTCCCAAGATACTAAAAAATCATTTAAAGAATTTTGAGAAAAGAAGCGACATTATTTTGCTCAAATAATGATTTTAAGTTACTAGGGAAACACAAAACAACCACAGTGAGATGTCACTTTACATGTCTGACAATGGCTGTAATAAAAAAGACAAACAATAATAAGTGTTAGTGAGGATATGGAAAAATCAGAATCCTCACACATTGCTAGTTAAAATGTAACATGGTATAGGTGATTTGAAAACCATGTTGGTGGCCAAGTGCAGTGGCTCATGCCTGTAAACCCAGCACTTTGGGAGGCTGAGGTGGGCAGATCACCTGAGGGCAGGAGTTTGAGACCAGCCTAATCAACACACTGACACTCCATCTCTACCAAAAAATAGAAAAATTAGCTGGGCATAGTAGCCTGCACCTGTAGTCCCAGCTACCGGAGAGGCTGAGGTGGGAGAAGCGCTTGAACCTGGAAGGGGGAGGCTGCAGTGAGCTGACATCACACCACTGTACTTCAGCCTGGGCCACAGGGTGAGACCTTGTCTCAAAAAAAAAAAAAAAATTGGTAATTTCTCGAAACGTTAAACATAGAGTTACCAAATGACCTAGCAATTTCTCTTCTAGGTAAAAAACTTTCTTTCAACCCAAGAAAGTTGAAAACATGTCCACACAAAAATTTGCATATGGATGTTTGGAGTGGCATTCACAACAGTCCCAAAGTGGAAACAATCCAAATGTCCATCAGCTGATGAAAGGATAAGTAAAATGTGGAATATCCATACAATGGAATATAATTTAGCCATAAAAGGCAATGAACTACAGCATCAATAAACCTTGAAAACATTATGCTAAGTAAGACAAGCTAGATATACTGGCTATATATTATATGATCCCAATTTTATAAAATGTCCAAAATAGACAAATCTATAAAAACAGAAAGTATATTCATGGTTGCTAAAGGCTAGGAGAGAGAAGAAAGAAAATGGGGAATGAATATTAATAAGTATAAAGTTTCTTCATGGGGCGATGAAAATGTTAGATAATAGTATGGTTGCACAATTCTGAATATACTAAAACTAATGATTTGTACAATATATAAAGGTGAATTTTATGGTATATGAATTATATCTCAATAAAGCTGTTATAAACCAAAAACCATGATGAGTTACTTTTTCACACCTAGTAGACTAAGATTTAAAAGACTAGAAATACCCGCGTTGACAAGGATGTAGAACATCACTGTCAGTCAAAGGTAAAATGCTACAACTGCTTTGGAGAATTGTTTGGCAGCGTGTTAAAAAGTTAAATAGTCATCTACAGTATGACATATCAATTCAACTCCTAGTTTTTTACTCAAGAGAAGTAAAAACTGGTAACTACAAGAATTGTACAGGAATGTTCACAACAGGCTTAAAATGAAAGCCATTCAAATGTCTATCAATGCGAGAAAGTATAAACAAACTGCTATGTTTATACAATGGAACACTATTCACAAACTAAAAACAAACTGATAGGTACAGCAACATACATGAACCTCAAATTAATGATCTTCATGAGAAAAAAAAAATCACACACACATATAACCATACCATGTGATTCATTTATATATAGCTAAAGAATAAGCAAAACTAATCTACCATCATAAAAAAAAAAAAAAAAAAAAAACCAGAACAATGATCTACAGGGCAGGGTAAAAGGGTAGGAACACAAGAGAACATTTGGGATGATTAATGTAATCTTGGTGGTTATACAGGTTTATAAAATTGTCAAAACCAACCAAAACAAATTCTTAAAATCTGTGCATTATATATAAATCTTATTCCAGGTAAAAAAGAAACAGTAGAATCTGAGAAAAAGAAATGTTTCTACTGAAATACTGATGGATGAAGTGATAGGATATCCAAGATAAGTTTTAAATACTCCAGAACAAAATTCTGTTAAAAGAAGATTGGCATAATACTGATAACTGTGTGAAGCTGGATGATAAAAACATTGAGTTTATACTATTCTCTCTAGATTTATGTAACTTTGAAAATTCCCATAATGAAAAGTTAAAAGTTATTCATTCATATATTAATAAATATTTCTTACTGTAGTTCTGTGGCACAAGTTCTGGATTCTTAGGAATTTTCAACTTGTAGGATACATCTCCAATATTAACTGTATCACCTAAAAAGAGAATTTTAAAAAACAGAATATTATTTTCAAGAGACAAATGAGAAAACCACAGACCATGGCTTTGGCAACAAGGCTTGTCCTGACCTACAGAGAGGGATGTTACAGAAATATACTACACAGCTGTCCATATGTCAGGCACTATGCTCTAAAACTTCTATCCAAAGTATGTATGAATAAAAGAGAAGTCAGGCATCAGTGAAATTCACGTGTTAAATGCTATGTTAGCAAACAAACAAAAAGCACAATAAAATACATCAACAAGCTCTATTTCATGAATAGCAACATTAATATAGGCAAAAACAATACAGAAGAATGCATTTTGTTTAAGATCATTCAAAGCATCCATAGAGTAAATATTTTCTTTTTTGAAGATGGTGTCTCACTCTGCCACCCAGGCTGGAGTGCAGTGAGGCAATCTTAGCACACTGCAACTTCTGCCTCCTGGGTTCAAGTGACTCTTCTGCCTCAGCTTCCTGAGTAACTGGGATTACAGGCATGTGCCACCACATCCAGCTAATTTTTGTATTTTTAGTAGAAATGAGGTTCCACCATGTTGGCCAGGCTGGTCTCAAACTCCTGATCTCAAGTGATCCGCCCGCCTTGGCCTCCTAAATTGCTGGGATTACAGGCCTGAGCCTCCACACCCAACCCATAGAGTGTTATCTTTAACACACATCCTCAAACTTTTCGCATAGCTTTGTACACCCTTATTTTTACTACGTGCAACTTCAAATTATCCAGCCGCATATCCTGAAACTTCAATATTTCTAGGTGCATAAAAGGAATAAAGCTCCAGTAGCATAAATGCCAAGAATTGGCCAGGTGCCGTGGCTCATGCCTGTAATCCTAGCACTTTGGGAGGCCGAGGCGGGCAGATCACTTAAGGTCAGGAGTTAGAGACCAGCCTGAGCAGTATGGCAAAACTCATCTCTACTAAAAATACAAAAATTAGCTGGATGTGGTGGTGAGCACCTGTAATCCCAGCTACTCAGGACACTGAGGCAGTAGAATCTCTTGAACCCAGAAGGCAGAGGTTGCAGTGAGCTGATATCACACCGTTGCACTCCAGCCTGGGCAACAAGAGTGAAACTCTGTCTCAAAAAAAAAAAAAAGTAAAAGAAAATTAAAGGATGGAAATCATACGGATTGTTTTCTTTTACCACAGTGGAATTAAAACAGTAACAAAAAGTAACTGGAAAATCCCCAAACATGTGGAAATCAAGCAACAGTCTTCTAAAAAAAGTCCGAAAAATAAATCACAATGTCAATTGAACTCACTGGAAAACAGGGTGGTGATCAATGAGCCACATCTGCTATAGATAAAAGGGAAAAGTTATGACATTCATATGGACCAGGCATCTGCGATCCCTGCCTTAAACGTTGATGTTCTTGGTCATTTTCTGTTACCACACTACATTTTCCTGAGTCATTTAACCGACACCAGTGGCCCAAGTCTGACATCCATACAGCTAAGTTTTTTTGTTTTTTGTTTTTTGGTTTTTTTTTTGATTAAGGGTACTCTCCAAACACCACATACAACTAACTCTTTAATGTCTGTTTTGGCTTAGATCTCTCTCTTGAGTTTCATGCCTGCCAGCAGCCTATTGGACACTTTACCTAGATATTCTACAGACAATTCAACTTCAACATACAGAAACAAAATTCCATATTGTCTGTTGTATGTGCCCAACCACACAACACACCTCTAACCAGCTCCACCTCTTGTATTCCTATCTCAGTGACTAACACTTTATTTCCTCAACCTAGAAGGCCTTCCACATCTTTCTCTCACACCACTTGCCCTCTACCCAACTACTGAAATATCTTTATCTCCTCATTGAACCTTCCCTAACTTTTCCTCTTGCACAAATTGATGACTCCATTCATCTTTCTGCTAGCACAAGATCTGATTTATGCTTTTGTAATGAAAATACAAATTCAAGGAAATAAGTGAATATACATTTTCTAACAATTAAAGAAGAGTTTTTTATCCACTCCCAAAATTGAGATAGGATATTCTATTTCCACTTAAAAGATATACTCAGATTTTGTAATTTTTTTTCTTTTAAATGCCAATATTTACAACACACTGGAAATGTCATCTTTTCCAACTATTTATACTTACCAGGAAAACTTTAGCTATCAACCTAAAAATATGTGTTCAAAGGAATACATATTTTAAAAGTCCTGCTAGCAGATAAATAAGAAAAATGAAGACTATTATTTAGTCTATGAGACTCTTTTTTTCGTGGTGCAGGGCATGTTTTAATCATCATTTTATCCCCAGTACCTGAAATCTATCAGGTATTCAATAAATGTTTGACAAATGAATACCTGTAGTTTTAAATTAAATATTTTCTTAAGTATTGTTTTTAAACTCTATTTTCTCCTTTGAGAACATCCCATCTACTAACATGCATTATAAATCAAGCCATTTGTAATGATTTATTTAAGTGAGGTAGTTCAAATACTCTCTAAAGGGGAATAAGAATACTTACAAGACAATGGGTAACACAATTTAGGCAAAAGAAGCTAATGTATGCCTTTTTTCAAGTAAACTGTGGGTTTACCTGAACTGGAATCAAATACTATTGAACTGTCCATAGTGCCTGAACCTTGTTTGATTTCTGATTGGTTCAGTTCATAGGGGTTCCTGTTAAGAAGTACACTTCGGTCTTTATTTTTCTCCTGAGAATGTGCATAGTAGCCCTTCTGGTACACCATATGTCCTCTCAAGTCTTAAATGTTTGTTTGCAGGCATTCATTGAGCATTCAATGGTCTCATTTTGACCAGAACAGCAAAAACATAAAGAATTATTCAACTGATGTGACACCATGACTTGTGAATTCCAGACCAAGTAAGTCCATTAAGTTGGTGACAGAGAACGGCAACAATGCCCAAAGTTTTGGTGAATCTCTCAAAATTGAGAGGCTGACCAAAAGGGACTAATTGTTAAATTAAACCAAATTCAGCCTAAGAATGCTTCCATACTTGGAGTCCTTATGCAATGAACTGCAACATAACTTTGTATGTAAATTAACTGAAACCAGACCTTAGGAGTATACTTTGGTAACAAATAGATGAGTCTTAGCCAATCTGAGCAGCTGAGTTTCAGTTAACCACAGGCTGCCAACCGATGAAACCATGTTCAAGTAAGGCAAACATTGAGTTATTGCCAAGTAAGCCATTTCTGTACCTCGCTTCCATTTTCTATCCATAAATGCTGCCTGCTCATGTTGCAGAATGGAGCTCTCTGAGCTTATTCTGGTTCTGAGTACTGCCCAATTCACAAATTGTTCTGTGCTTAAACTCTTTAAGTATAGTGAGTCTAAAGTTTTTAACAGCAGCATTGACAAAGAAATTGGTTTCATGCAGGGTTTTCTCAACAGCGGTACTATGAACATTTTGGGCCAGATAATTTTTTGTTGTGAGGAGCTTTCCTGTGTGTCATGGAATGTTTAGCAGCATCACTGGCCTCTACCCACTAGATGCCAGTAGCATCCCTCCCTCCTGGTTCTGACAACCAAAAAGAAATATCCAGGCATTACCAAATGTCCCCTGAGGGGGAGAAATCACCTTGGGTGAAGAACTATTGGTCATCATTGTTATATATACTAAACTTAGACCCAAGAAAAAACTAAATATAATAGTAATTCCCACACTAGTCTATACGCCCCTAATGTGGGTTTGCCTAATGATTTATAAGCTTACCATTGTTCTGAGACTTCACTGTTAAATTCTTGAATACACAATGGCATCAGAATATCCTCAGGGTCAAAATAACCTACTGGAGGTTCAAAGTAGTTAATTTCCCCAAGGTTCAATACCCAATAATACAAAGCTTAGACCAAAACCATAGTATAGTTCTTTCCTCTTTACACTGTATTTCTCAGTTGAAGCCACAGTTCTATATTTCTCCTCCCCAAACTTATTACCGTCGAATCCTATTATACCCAAGGATATAATCTTAAAATAAGAAAACTTCATGTAGATGGATGTTTATTGCATTGTTTATATATTTTAGACATCATGAATGTCCAAGAATGAGAGATCAGTAAAATAAATTATATGGACAAACATATAAACTTAATACCTATTTTAAGTAATCATCTACAATGATCTATTACCATGTTAATATGTTCTCAATAATGGATGGATAATTATAAAACATACATGGTCCCATTTCTTTTAAAAAAAAACATGTATCTGTATAAATATACATGTCAGCCAGGCACAGTGGCTCACACCTATAATCCCAGCACTTTGAAAGGCAAAGGTGGGAGGATCACTAGAGGTCAGGAGTTCAAAACCAGCCTGGCCAACATGGTGAACCACATTCTACGAAAAATACAAAAATTAGCTGGAGTGACTGATATGGTTTGCCTGTGTCCCCACCCAAATCTCATCTTGAATTGTAGCTCCCATAATCCCCATGTGTCATGGGAGGGACCCAGTGGGAGGTAACTGAATCATGGGGGCAGGTTTTTCCTGTGTTGTTCTCGTGGTAGTGAATAAGTCTTACGAGGTCTGATAGTTTTACAAAGGGGAGCTTCCCTACACAAGCTCTCTTGCTTTCTCCTCCTTCGCCTTCCACAACGATTGTGAGGCCTCCCCAGCCATGTGAAACTGTGAATCCATGAAACCTCTTTTTCTTCATAAATTACCCAGTCTCTTGTATGTCCTTATAACAGTGTGAGAACGGATTAATACAGCGGTACACACCTGTAGTCTCAGCTACTTGGGAGACTGAGGCAGGAGAATTGCTTGAACCCAGGAGACGGAGGTTACAGTGAGCCGAGATCGCACCACTGCACTCCAGCCTTGGTGACAGAGTGAGACTCCATCTCAAAAATAAGAAAATAAATAATTTATACGTGTATGTGTAATCTGATAGGATTCATGCTAAAAAATTGATAATTATAAATTTGGGTGGGAGGAATATGTTTCAGGGAATTTGTATTTATCACTATTCTACAATAAACAGATTGCTATGTTAAAATATTTTAGGGTATTTCTATAAACAAATTTACTTCATATACAAGAGTCATAAAGAAAATATTTTGAATCCCTTTAATAATAATGGTGTTAAAGGAGAGCACTAAAATGTCATGATGTAATTTTACAGAGTTATGCTTCTAAGTTTATAATTTGATCTATAGTATATTTGAATCCATTTAACATCAGAGTTCCACTGAAATAGCTTGCTTGGCTCCATCTGTAAAAACACTACAATAATCTTTATTGAAAACATTCTGTAGTAGCTATCCTTCTTAACCTTGTTAACCTCTTTGCTCTTAAACCAAGAGACAGTAATTTTAATTGACGTATAAAGAGATATAAATTATTTACAATTATAGATACTTAATACTATCTGACAGCAAAGGATAAAAAGCAATGGGTTTGGGTTGAGTTTACTTGTTTTGTTTTTAACATAAATGGCCTATTTTCCTTCTGCTTATCAGGCTTAACAAAGGTCCTGTCTTGAGAACAAATAGGCAATTCCAGACTCTCCTGCTCCTTCTCCGTATGAACTTTCACATAATAAGCCACTGAATGCTTATTACGTACAAAGTGTTGGCAGGCATCAAAGGAATATATAGATAAATAAAACAAATACTCCAGGAAAAGTAATGCCAGTATATAACTTAAATCTATTACTTATGAACTTTGTTGCTCTTTTTTCAAACTATTAGGAAGCAATGTCAATTATACAGAGAGGGGATAATCAGTTACTGGTCACATGTATGAGTGCAGCTGAGAGCATTTTCCCAACATAAGATGTAATCCATTGTGGCCTATTGTTATTTGTAGTTTTACACTTTTCTGTGTCTGATCTCTGATTCAAAATGGGACAACTCCCATCTTGATGGCCTTACTCTCATGCCTCAGAGTAGCCAAAAGTGTATGGTCCATTTACCTGGCTCACAATTGTTTACTTGAGTCCAGACTCTCAGGTGGGTTCCCAGTTGCTTTTAGCCAGTCCTCACACCATAATTTACTTCTTGTGGTCTGATTCTGCCAGAGTCAATGACTAAGTCAAAAAAGATAATATGTTCCTTGTAATATGTCCATGACTCTCACATTTGAAGCAAAGCCTATACTTTGACTTGCTGGCTATAACAAAATTTGAGGACGTTTACAACTAATCTACCAATATGTATATAATACAGACTTTAAAAATTCACACCCTCCTGTGTTTCTAATATTTGTACAATCAACATGCATTATCCATGTACAAAGAACAATTGCTTTTAAAAAGTTCATGTCAATTCCCTCTGCTAAATCTGCCTACCCAGATAGTTTGGACAGTTCTGAATCTAAAAGCACCTGGTTTAATGTCTTCTAAAGGCAAGAAAACAGAATAATTCTCAAATAGCTAAAAATATACATACTAAGAATAATTTAAAAAACTTTTATTGAGCATTAATATGTTCCACAGATTATATTAATTAATTAATCCTCACAACAACCCTAATAGATAATTATTCTTATCATTTTATAGTTAAGAAAACTGGGACACTAAGTTAAGTAACCTACCCTCAACGGCCCATGGTTAGATAGTCTATAAGTGGATTCCAATCCAGATTGTTTAACTCCAAAACCCAACCTATAGTTTATGCTACACTCCCACCTTTGATCTCTGCCTTCTAGGGCAAAGAAGCAAAAAACAAAGAAGACACAAAAAAGTTAAAAAACAAAATAATAAACAGCCTAGAAGTGACAGTAATTGAGTAAAGCAAAAAAGAAAAAAAGCAAATTTTGAAATTGCAACACTATGGTGGGGGAAGGGGGGGCCGGTGGGGAGGGAGGGACACGTGTGTGTTGAATGAATGAAATGAAATACATAGGACCGAAATATGCTCATTTCTTAGCTAGGAAAACTAAGGGTTGTGGGGGAGAATGCAAGATGACAATGAAACCTACAATTTCATAGTAAAAACCTGTTATTCTAAGCACTGACATTGACAAAGTCTTGTCCAGAATCATTTGACCATTCAAGGGCAGCAACAACAGACATCCTTTCTTTAACCATCACAGTAACTCTAACTCCACCAATACACAAGAAAAAGAATTCCTAAAACCAGCTCAAGTAGAGCAAAAAAATACTGAGCTTAGAAAATCAAAGCATGTGATTCTAGCATAGTGACTAGTTAGCTGTGTGTTCAGCAAATCACTTTTCTCTTCTGGGTTTCAGTTACCTCAATTATAGAGGCAAAGGTTTTAACTAAATTAAGGTGTAACTGTCATCTGTAAGAATTATGTGAAGCTTTAAGGAGGGAAAACTCCTGTAAAACGTGGAAAGACTCGGGGATGCATTTAAAATACAGCGAACTATGGGTTTTTTGGCGAGAATGTTCCCTTCTAAGCCGTCACACGCCCTGGCTAGAACGTAATACAGAATGGCTTCCAGGCCCTTGAGGCGCAGAGGGCAAGGTCAAGTCCAGCTTTCAACAATTCCAGCGGGCTGCGGCATTAACCTCTACGAGTATCATAATCGAAGTCAGAATTCTGGGGGTAAAAGCTGCGGCAGAGGAACGAGAAATCACTATCCTAGGTCATCAGAAATCTTAGTTCAGACCCTTCGGGTTGCAGAATGAGGCCCAGAGAGTGCGAGCGCCTTGCCCCATGTCACACAGCAGTTAGCACCGAGGTCGGGACTAGAAACTCGATCTTGCAGCTCCCCGCTCAAGCAAGCGGTCCAAGTGCAGCGAAGCAACAGAGAGGAGGGGCGGCTGCGTGGGGGGCCTGGCACGGAGCGCAGGGGCACCAGGGAGGACAGGGGTGCACCCCGGGTTACCTGTGTCGGCCCCCGCGCCGGCGTGCAGCAGTCTGACCTCCGGCCGCCGCCAGTCGCCACCCGGTCGCCGCCGCGCCACCTGCCGCAGGAGCAGCCGCACGCGCCGCGAGGCCGGGCCGCCGTGGCCTCCGGGTGCCCTGAGGAGAAGGAGCCGGGACTGCATGGGGCCGGGGACGCTGCCGGAGATGGCGAGGGGGCGCGGGGTCGAGCTGCGTCCCGGGCAGGCAGCGAGAGGCGGTGGGGAGAAGGGGACAGGAAGCGGCACCTCGCCGAGTCCGCCGGAAACTCCTTCCCCCGGCGCAGCCGACTCAGTAGCCTTGGCCCGGCCTGGCCAGGCCCACACGGGCAGAAGAAGCCTGCGGAGCTCCAGCCCAAAAATCCGGTACCGTCCCGGGACGGCCGCGCTGCTGGCGTGCTCCGAGCTGCCGCCCTGGGATCCCGCACGCGCCTCGCAGTCCCTGAGACTGTTCACCTGGATTCACCAGGCCTGCACCCCGCTGTTGTCCTGCGATCCCACAAACTCTCAGGAGTTGAGGGAATGCCAAGGATTTTAGGGGCATCTGTCGTTGTGGCTTTTCAGATGCTTGCACCAAGGCTTCGTTTCTTAGTTAAGGGCCCAGTAAGTGTAGTCAGCTTTCGCTGTACTCAGCTTCAGATTTCGAAAATGGAGAAAACATGCCCGAGATGATGGGCACTTTCACAACTATCTTGATTCGTTGTAACCACACTAGTGTTTCCAAACCGTACGTGAAAGCTTTACCCCTTGTGCTTTTGGTGGTGGTTGTTTCTGTGTTTGATTACCGCTTCCTAAATTCCAAGGAAAAAATTCACATCTTAATGATAGATGGAAGTTGCTCAAAGATCAGAAAGGATCCAGATCAAGCACTTTTCCAGTCATGCTGTAATACAAAAGTTATATAAAGATAATGTATGTCTTTAGTAAAGGAAAAAGTAGGACACTAGCTAAGGCTGCCTCCCTCTCATACATTCCAGCATCGGAAACAGTCCTACCACAAAGCAAACTAAGCCTAATATAATTAGACTGCATCCCCAAAATGTCACGGGTGAATTGACAAAGGCAAAGTGTTTGAGACAAGTTATACAGAGCAAACATCAAACAAAAAGAATGCAGAAGACCTCACTTTCAGCTAAAGACCTTGCTAATTCTAGAACTGCCACTGTCGAAATACATAGCACCTACCCTGCACCTAAGCCTGTGATGGGTGCTGAGAAGAGAGTGATAGAGAGGAGGCTATAAAAGACAAACAAAGCTAGGTAAGGAAGACTTCCAGCATCCAGCAGAAGGACTTTAACTTGAGGAAAGAGGGCTGAAACAAGCTTCTAACCTAGATGAGAAGACAGTGAAAATAAAGGTAATAAATATTTGCACAATGCATTATGACATGGTTTCATGTGTATCTTCTCATTTAATCCTCATAGCAACCCTAAGACATAAATTTAGGATGTAAGTTTATAAAATGCTTTTCCCACTTTGAGCACATCCTATACATCAGGCATTGTGCTGAAGATTTCAGTGAATTATGAAAATGCTTTATGCTCCACATAAAAATGCTTTGATTGAGGTACTATTATTATCTTCCATTTTACAGATGCAGAAACTGAGGCTGGAAGAATTAAATACCTTGGTCAAGACATCTCCATTTAATCTCACTGGAACTCAGTAGCACCTGAAAGAATGGGAGAACAATCTAAGACAGTTTTGCAAAATGATTGATGCACTAAGAGCTCTTGGAGTTAAGACAACGGAGAGATTGACACAAGTTAGAGCATTCAGCAACATTTTTTGCTTAGTTTTATTTTTTTAGAGACAACATCTCACTCTGTTGCCCAGGCTGGAGTGCAGTGGCACTATCATAGATCACTGCAACCTCAAACTCCTGGGCTCAAGTGATCCTCCTGCTTAGCCTCCCTAGTAGCTGAGACTACAGGTATGCACCACTGTGCCTGGCTAATTTTTGTGGGTTTTCTTTTTGTTTGTTTTGGGGGAGTTTATTGTGGGAGGGGGTTGAGATCGATCCTTGCTCTGTCACCTAGGCTGGTATGCAATGGCGCAATCTCAGCTCACTGCAACCTCCACCTCTCAGGCTCGAGTGATTCTCCTGCTTCAGCATCCTGAATACCTGGGATTTGTATTTAGCCACTACACTCAGCTAATTTTTGTATTTTTAGTAGAGATGGGATTTCACCATGTTGCCCAGGCTGGTCTTGAACTCCTGATCTCAGGTGATCCACACGCCTTGGCCTCCCAAAGTGCTGGGATTATAGGTGTGAGCCACCGTGCTGCCATGCTTTTGTTTTTGTAGCGAAGGAGTCTTGCAACATTGCCCAGGCTGGTCTCAAGCTCCAGGCCTCAAGTGATCCTCCTGCCTCAGCCTCCCAACAACAACATTTATTGAGTAACTGCTGTATAAACAGTACCCTGCTAGATACTGTGAAGCAATTGGCTCACATTAAGTATTGATGATAAATATACAGATAAAGAATTGCAATACAGTAAAACACGTGTCAGAGATTTAGGTTCAGGGTACTTTGGAGTGGAGTGCTGCACCTGGGGGAGGTCAGCGAGGCTTCACAGAGAAGATAGTGTTTGAAAAGGTTCTTGTACGATATATTATACAAGAATTTGTCAGGCTGAGACAAGTCAAATCTGGCAGACAGATCATGTACAGAAAGAGAGAGAGAGAAAGGAACAGCTGAAAGTACAGGGCATGATTGAGAATCAGAGAGTGATTTAGTGTGTCTAGAGGTCAAGCATCTATAGCAGTTTGTAAGAATTAGACCAGAAAGAGAATCTGGGGCCATGTTGTATGCCAAGAGAAGGAGTTTGCACATTAACCTCCAGGAAATGCACAAATGGTGAAGGTTTTTTAAAGTGACAAAGCTACAATGGGGAGGAGAATTTTGGGTCCAAGGAGAAGTAGAACGTGAGCTTAACTTTGGATGCCATTTATGACTGGATAAACAGAGAAGAGGGGAGTATAGAGCCTAAGTAGAGGCTTAGAGTCCTGGCAGAGTTAAATTACAGAGGCCATGAGATCAGCCAGATGAGAAGGTTAATCTTTAGAAAGTAATAGAAGGTACTGGCAGAGGGAGAGGAAAAAATTACAGAGTGAAGAATCATGAGTAACTGGATGAAGTTGGACTTCATCTGATGGGCAAACTGGGCAGCTACTTTTGATCATGTTTTAGGTGGTGACGTACTATGAATTGAATTAGGAAGACAGGAAACATTAAGTACTAGCTATGTGGCAGTAAAAATAATCTCTACTTGAAATGATGAAGCTGCTGATGGCAATGAGACTAAATGGGAAAGAATGGACCTTCACAATGTTTTTAAAGATGAACCACAATGTTTTAAAAGATGTTGATCACAATCTCTGTGTAAAGTCTCTCAAACTCTCACTAAAATGTCTGATCACATGCTTATTAAAAAATCACGCTATTGGCCAGGCACAGTGGCTCTCTCCTGTAATCCCAGCACTTTCAGAGGCTGAAGAGGGTGGATCACCTGAGGTCAGGAGTTTGAGACCAGCCTGGCCAACATGACGAAACCCCATCTCCATTAAAA